GCACGCGCGGCCTGACGGACGGGGGAGGCGACCGGTCATTTGATGATCTCCCCGAGTTGCAACCCCGAACGTGCCTGCCAGCTTGCCTGCCTCTCTGACTGTGTCTCTGACCGGGCCCCTCTGTTGCAGGACCCCTGGCCGCGGTGGGAGTGCCACCAGCACCCAGCATGCCCGCTGCCGGCCGAGGCCCCGCGACGACGCACAGGCAAGTCCAAAACGCCAGGACGGCGACGACGAAGTTTGGCCGAGGCTTGTGTGTGAGATTTCCATGTCGTGGAATGGAATGTGGGGCCGCGGCCGCGTCGCCGCGTGCGTGCGCGATAGCGCGACTCACGCCATGCCCTGTTGGTTGAGGCGGGTGTCTACGACGGCGACCCTGCGCGGGGCGGGGCGGGGCGTCGGCCGTCTGGGCGCCTCAGACCCGACTGCAGTATTAATCCGTCCCGACGGGTCGGGCCGCCGGGCCGCCGAAAGCAACGCCCAGTGCGAGGGGATGTTGACCCAGACATTGACCACGCCGGCCTGGCCTAGACGGTCGGGGGGTCACTCCCCGGCCCGCCACACTGCTAGCTTATCGGCGTGCCCTATCGCCCGGACACTTGGCGCGGCCGTCTAAGTCCTCGACCAGCTGGCACATGGAAATGCACACCTCGCTGAGTGGGGCGGTAAACGCCACCACTTTGCACGTCACCATTCAATTCTTGCACACCCGTAAAATGTCGTTTCTTGAACCAAGGTGTAATTTACGCGGAACAGGTGAATTTACTTAAAGTGTTTCGACTCAATTCACTTGGCTTGAAACATTCAGGCAAACTAACTGTTCCAGGTAAATTATCTCGAAACAAGAAGGCACGTTTTTGTTCGTACCTGTACCTCCCTGCTGTCTAGAAGGCGAACACCGCGTGCTTTTGAGGCGGCCTGTACCCGCGGATGGGCCACGCCACGCCGCGCCGCGCCACGACCGCGCTGCATTCCAAGTGCGACAAACTGGCTCTGCCCTGCATTGCTGCCTTCAGGCTTCAGGGGGCCCCGCGCGCGCACTCGCACAGGGGGCACTCGCAGGGGCACCCGGTCAGAGCCCCGCCGGGAGGAGAGCTAGGACCTTTTATTCGCCTGATAGTATTTTTCATTTTCAGTTTCATTTACTGGCAGATTTAGCCACTGCTGCTGGTCGATCCGTAACCAGGGGCTGGTTGGGTGGTGAGTGGCGACGCGGACGGACGGACGGACAGACAGACAGACGGACGGGCGATTGGCCATAAAGACCCTCCTCCGGCACGCATCTTCATCGTCTTGATCGATCCCCGCCGTGGCGGTGCCCGCCTGCCTGGCCGGCTGGCTGCCGGCGAAAAGCGAAACCGAGACGAACCGCTTTTTTTTCGGCTCGGGGACTCAGCTAATGGGCGGCGTGGTCGCGGCCCCACTGGCAGGGAGAGGCACGCTCGCTCGGCCTGGCCGTCGGAGCGGCGCGCCCGGCGCGTAGGCAGCCGGCCGCCAGCGCTCTGTTGCGGGGCGGTCCACCCGCTCCGCTGCAGGCGCCCCAGCGGAGCGCCTCGCTCTGTCTCTCTCGCACCCCTGCGGGACGCCCCATGAGTGCGACAGAGACAGAGCGACGCAACGAGTCGTCGGAACCACTCTGCAGGCGGCATGGCGGCAGCGCGCCGGCACTCGGCTAGACGCTGCTGGCTCCTTGTCTATCGGTTCGCGGCGACTCGGCTCAGTCAGTCAGCCCCCGGGCCGGGCGGGCCCACCATGAATAATGCTTGTTCGTCTTGTGCTTCCGCTCTCCGTGCCACGGCAGTGCGTTGCCTCTGTGCGGGCCGCTGGCCTTCCCACGCCGCGCCCCTCCCCCCCTCCCCCTTTTCCAGGATGCATGTCGCTCCTCGCTCTCCTCGCGGCCCAGGTGGGAAAACGGGATGAAAATACGCGCAATTATCCCGTGCTGTGAGAATGGCCGGTCCATCTGGCGACCTTGAAAATCGGGGGTCTTTGACGTCCGCCGAAAAATTCTGATTCTGATTCGGACGATGATGGAGGAGATCGGGTGGGCAGCGGGCGCACGGCGGCGGAAAAAAACAGCGTAAGTTGGTGCGGCAAGGCGACGGCGTCCCCGCGCCACGCGCGCCGCCACGTCGGCCACCTTTATCTGGAGCGGCTCATCGGGGCTCCTGGGCCTGGTTACGCGCCGAACGGACAGACGGACAGACGGGCTGGGCGAAGCGGCGCGAGACACGCGGACACCCGGCGACGGCGGACGCACGGACTTGGCAGCGCGATGCGACCGGCGACCGGGCCGAGCCGGGACAGGCAGGGCAGGGCGGGCCGGGCACACAGGACATGGAACCGAACGACGGAACCAGACCTTGCCTCGTTAGGCGGCCAAGGCCTAGGCCCGGCTTGGGCTTGGCTCCAGCGCGGCGGTCCCAAACGGACGAGCCCCGTTCCCGCGGCCCAGGCCGCCCAGTCACCAGGTCCGCGTCGCAGCGTGACACGCACCAGCCCCTTTCTCCCAACTTGGTCCCGATGGTCGCGGGCACCACGCCGACGGCGGCCGACGTCCTAGGTTCTGCAACCCTCGGCGGCCAGGGCGGCCAGGGCGTTGGCACGGCGCCGTGCGGGGTGCCCGGCCGTGCCTGGCCGGGCGTGCAGTATGGCCGCTGCGAAATTCATTACACAGCAGGCCGATGCCGAACTTTGGTCGCTCCGTCTCTCTCGCACTCGGGCCGTGCCGTGGGGGTGCGAGTGAGACAGCGCGTCGTTTCTGAAGCAGCCGGCCGGGAGATGCGCGGGCTTGGTTACCTGCCCGCCGCCCGATGCGGTATGACGTGCTGAATTATTCAAGAATGTGGTGCTCCGCGCCGCGTTTCAGTCGCCGGTTACCATAGCGTACGCGGCGGCCGGGCGCGCCTCCCCGCCGCCACGCTCGGCGGCCGCGGCCACCTCGTCGTCATTATCAGGGCCTCATCAAAGAGGATAAAAACCCAGCCATTCGGCGCGAATGCTGAGCATTGCTGCGCCGTGGCGGCGAGGTCCTCGTGCCCTGCCGGCCGCGTGCGTGCGCGTGCGTGCGCGTGCGGCCGCGCGGCGAGCGGGGGTTGTAAAGCTCGGCGGAAACGGCGGTCCTGCCCGTCGACGCCGAGGCCGACGCCGAGGGGCTCCAAGGCCGCCGATAACGCGCCCCGCCGCTGCGGCCGGAACGGGCCGGAAGGGAGAAAGAGGAAAACATGCGGCGACGCTGCGGGGAATCGATCCCCCGATTGCGGCAGTGCGGCCAGTGCGAGGATGGCGATGATTATTCGCGGCGCGTGGTCGGCGTGGTCAGTGACTCAGTGACGGGGAAGGGCGCCGCCCCCGCCGCCCACCGGCAGGCAGACCCCCACCCACGCCGCCCGCCGCGGTGACGCGAAAGTGTCGGCGGGAAGATCGCGAGGCGTTCGCTTGATTGGCGGTAAAAAAGCTAAAAGGCGCGCACCTCGCCGTAAACACACGGCGGCCATTATTTGCATTCCTCGCGGGCGTGAAAAAGCACTTCTGGCGTCCCACAAGATTTTACATCTTGTTTATACCCGCCGCGTGTCCGCGTGTGTGCGGAGAAATGCAGTCCATACATTAAGTAGGAGATGGTCGCTAGCGGGCATGACCTGAGGGCCAGGGGGCTGGATGGTCGGTAGCGGGTATCGGAGGGCACACTTTTTTGGTACAACTGAAAAGCAGACCAGCATGTAAACAAAGCCAAACCATAACAAGCCGGAAAGTCATCAGAAAAAACTCACCTCCATATCATACTGTTCTCCCGGCCTTTTTTCTTCGTGTATGCGTACCCCTCACAGAAAATAGCTCTGGTTCCTCTCCTTGTTGTGCCGAAAACTACAGTCAAATCCGTGTTTCTGCACTGGCTGACCACTGGTTCTGCACGGCGCCACGACTCCAACTGACGGCCGGTGCTGGGCGGGCCGGGCGAGCCGAGCCGTGCCACGTCGTGTCGTGCCAGGGCGTGTCGTGCGTGGTCGGCGCCGTGCCGTGCCGCTGCCGGCCCGGCCCGGCCGCGGCCTCGACGGCGTCCTGGACAGCCCGGGCCGTCACCGGACCGGAAGAGTGACCAACAGCGCGGCTTGGCGGCGGCGCATCGTCGCGTAGAAAGCAGCGCGCGGAAAGCATTTTATTTCTTTTCCCTCCTATTTGCCGCTTCTTTCCCTTCCGCCGCGGCTATCTTTATTTATTCCTTTCGGCGGAGAAAACCAACTGGCGCCGCTGCCTGGTCAGCAGCGCCGCCCTATTAGCTGGGACTTTATGGCGGCGGTGTCCTGTTGCTGTTTTTATTGTTGTTTTTTGTGCGTGAATCTGGAACTCAGTTGTTTATTTTTGTTTGATCTGATGGCGGGACGATGATGCCGATCGCCTGACGTGACGCCACTGCGAAAGGATGGAACGCGCCCACGTGGCGATGCCTCGATGCCTCGATGCAAAGGCAAAAGCACCGCGGCGCGTCGAACAATGGCATCGTTAACCTCCCGCGACTCATAGAGCAGGCCGAGTCCGAAGCGTGCTTTCGTCGCTCCGTCTCTCTCGCACGCGTGCGGCGCCCCGTGAGGGTGCGAGAGAGACGGAGCGACCGCCTCGGCAGCGCTCTGCGCAGCGCGCACCGCCGCGCCGACCGGTTCCGGCGAGGCAGCGAAGACGCCGCCGACCGCCGCAGCGCGCCGCGCCATGAGCTGCGCCCTCTCGCGGCGTGGCGCGTGGTGCGTGACACGCGTGGTGGTGCAGTCCGGCGGGCTGTCTCTCTCGCACCCGCACGCAGCGCCCCATGAGAGTGAGAGAGACAGAGAGCGCCCTCTCCGAATCGACCTGCTGGGTGATCCGCGGCGGGGCGCTTTTAATTAGACGTTGTTGCGCTGAAACGGGCGGGGCTGACTGCGATGCGATGACGGCCCTAGTTCTGGGGCGTCTTTCGCGTTGTTGTTGTCGGTGTTGTTGCTAACTTGTTGTTGTTGTTGCAGGGGGGCGTGATGCGGCGGCGGTGGGGGCTCCGGCGGACGCGCCACCGGGAGGGAGGGTGCGCTGCCTAAGGGCTGCCTGAAGGGCTGCCCGACGGGCGGCAAAGGCAGCCGCAGCCATGCGCGAGGAGGACCTCGAGGTCGCCATCAAGGTGAGGGGACGCAGTGGGCTGGGCTTTCCCGTTTACGTGGATTGTGTTTCGCCGAGGCGGCGCCTCGGAGTCGTTTTCGTCGCTCTGTCTCTGTCGCACTCATGGGGCTCTCCATAAGAGTGCGACGCAGACAGAGCTAGCGTCGAAACGACCCTTTGGAGTTCGTCCGCGCGGGCGCCGCGGTGCTGAGGGCCCCGTCAAACCAGTCGGCGGCTAGAACAGCTTCCAATCGCGTGGCAACTTCTCGACTGGCGAAGGAGAGAGAGAGAGAGAGACAAAGAGAGAATAATTTATGAATTTTCGCCGCCGCCGCGTTATCGCGATGCCGCGGCGTCGCGTCGCAATTACGAGGGATAATTACAAAGGCGGCGGAAAATCGGTGATTCCTCTCCACGGCTAGAGAGAGAGAAAGATAGACTCCCCGCCGCCACACTGCCTTCTACGTCCCTTCCTCGCTGTTGCAGGTGGTGATCGTGGGCAACGGGGCGGTCGGCAAGTCCAGCATGATCCAGCGGTACTGCAAAGGCACCTTCACCAAGGACTACAAGAAGACGATCGGCGTGGACTTCCTCGAGCGTCAGATTGAGTGAGTAGAGTACCACACCACCACACCGCAAGTCGGCAGAGCGGAGCGGAGCCCCTGCGGGGTAGGCCGGCCCGTCGAACAGCCGTGCGCCGCGCTCGGGTGTGTTGCCTACGCCGCATTGCCATTACCATTAAGGGCTAGACCACACACGGTCGTATGCCATTTCGGGCACGAGGCGGCTCAGTAGGCTCAGGCTCAGCCTCCCCCGCCGCTCCCCGCTGATACTCTTTAGTGTTCTACTGCCTTAACGAGGTAATCCATCTCTGGCCTCGCCGAGCGGCTCACACTCCGAGCCACGCGGAGCCACGCGGAGCCGCGCTCGCAGTGCAGTGACGAACTTTCACACGAGTCATCAGCGACCGCCTGCAGAGCGATTCCGGAGAACCGCGTTTCGTCGCTCTGTCTCTCTCGCACCCCAGGGAGACGACTCTGTGGAGTCACCCCGCTGGCCTGACCCGCGCGTCGGGCTGAGGCGGGCTAGGCCTACTCTTGGTGGTGTGCCGTCGGTGCCGTCAGGGGGAGTCCCTGGCCAAGGGCCCGGCCGGCCCGGCCCATGACACTTCCGCGTGGTGTAGGGGCGCAGCGACCTTGCCGGTACGTTGACCCCCATCGACCCTTCATCGCGCGGGGGAGGGGGGAGGGGGAGGGTCGGACATCGGCGGCCCGCCGACCGGCTGATGGTGTCGCAATGGCCCATGTTGGAGTGCGACAGAGTGGGCCGGCCCCGCATTGACCTAAACAAGGCACGCTGCCACCTCACCTTCAGAGGTGATTGTTGTAGATAAAGGGAGGTTTTTAACAGTTGTGATTTTTTTTCAGGCTGGACGGCGAGGAGGTGCGCCTGATGCTGTGGGACACGGCCGGGCAGGAGGAGTTCGACGCCATCACCAAGGCGTACTACCGCGGCGCGCAGGCCTGCGTGCTGGCCTTCTCCACCGTGGACCGGGACTCGTTCGAGGCGGCCACGTCGTGGAAGATGAAGGTGGAGGACGAGTGCGGCGACATCCCCACCGTGCTGGTGCAGAACAAGGTGGACCTGCTGGACCAGAGCGTCGTCGACCCGTAAGCACCCGCCTTTCTGGCGTTTCCCTACGTTTTGCTTTCCAACCGCTTGCGCCGGATAGGCAACCCTGTTGACACTTGTCCTGTTCCAGGGAGGAGGCCGACCTCCTGTCGCGCGCCCTGGGCTGCCGCCTCATCCGCACGTCCGTCAAGGAGGACGTGAACGTGAACGCCGTGTTCAGGCACCTGGCGGCGTGCTGCCTGCAGGAGATGCGGCAGCAGGACGACGACTACGCCATGAACGGCAACGGACTCCACCCGCTCACCATCAGTACGTATTTCCGAGCACTTTCGACATTGCGTCACACTAGTCAAAGCGTCATTTCCCCGTTTCTGTTGCCCAGGTGCGTTCGGACCAACAAATCAAAATGGCAAATCTCATCAAAATGGGACAATAATTTTACGCTCTGGGAAGCCTAGAAGACATCGCAAGAGAAATGTTCTAAAGAACGCCTGTCGAATATTATGATGATGCCCTCATCAGTGCTCATTTTGCGCGGAGCGCACGACGCTGCCCGTGCCGGGTGGCGGCCCGCGCACAGGTCACTCAACCAATTGTACCTCTTCTTAGGTTCACATGATGGGATGCAGTCAAACTTGGATTGTGGTCCTGTTCTTATTGTGATTTTTTCTGCATAATTTTAAGTGCATTGTACATTGTTTATTTCTTTGATACATATCTGGATTATAATGAATAAAAAAAATATTGGTCAAGTTAATTTTTTTTGTTTGAGTCTGTGTACCACCACCTTACTTTTGTCATTCAGAAGACAGGCCCAGGCCCAGCCTGTTGGTCCAACCATCTTCAATTGTGAAAAAGGATGTTAAAGGATAAATAATGGTAGTCTGTCACTTTCCAGTATTCTTACTATAATTTCAAGTCTAGGAACATAAACATAACACAGTTTGACAAAACAAATACTATCACTAAATTACAATTATTTGTATTCGAAGTATTCAGCCATATCATGACTTCAGTATTGAGTTTTGGAGATCTTGACACAATTGGAACATAGAGAACCTCAGTCAAGACAATAAACTGAAAATAAAACACAAATGCCATTCCGACAGATTTTACAAGTACAGCAAGCAACACCATGACATTCAGTATAACCAAGAGAACTATAGAACAATTTTTACCCACATGCTACAGGTTGAGGCTTAGCATTTAAAACATCCATACACATTATAGAGTGACTCATTTATCAGGATATGAATGAATTCAACGTCTTACAAAACATTATATTGTCAACATGGTAACAAGAAATACATATACTTGGTCTCTCACTAAGTATCTCTAATGTAATCAATCATCAATTACATTGACTACAGTCTTGAATACTCTAACTTGATTACGATGATAAATGAGGAAAAATGCATTTCAAGAATCAGGGTAAGGGGGAGGGAGAAACCATAAACAGAACATGTACGAAAAAAGTGCATGGTGCGTAACATATAAACAGAAATAAAAACAACAAAAAAGTGGCAAAATGGGGGCTTCAGTGCAGTGAAAATACAATTTTTCACCCAAGTTACAATCCAGAGAACCACACAAAAATTTACAATCATTACTTTGGCAGCCACATTTGCACAAAAATCTGATGGGAAGGAAACTTGGAATCCCACTGCCTCTCAGAGAAGATTAGTGGTTTCATGCAACCCTCTTGCTAAGGGTTTGAAGACAATAACATAAAAAGATAAACATCATAATTTCTTGACACAATTAAAATTATGCAAGTCCCTGATTTGAAATAAGTATGCTGATGATTAAAAAAAAAAAAAAGACACAATGTTTTTCTTTTTGGTAAATGCAAATGAGAGAGATAGAGAGCCACTAATGAGCAAACTCCTTTGAAATTGATATAATCACTAAATGAGGAATTCATAACCCCATCCAACACTCAAATAAAATTCCTTAGTTGACATAATTATGGTAATCAGATCACAAGTGCCTGGCAATCAGCAAAGCAAACAGCTTAGATTGTCAAACAATCAACATATGAAAGTCTGCTTAAAGTACATACAAGCAATACTGCAACTAGGCAGCCACCAAACAATAATTATTTCATCTAATATTGGACCCACTGACATTTCAAACTTTAAGTAACTATGAACGATACATTCAAATCAAAAGTTGAATGGAACAACCACCAGTCTCCAATGTTCACAGCCATATGAATTGGTGCAATAAAGTAATATAGGACTAAGGTAAATTTGTTTGGGTGAATTGTAAGTACATTCACAAAGCTTCTTAATGGCAAATTGATTGCAAACTTAACATTTTGAAGGGGAAAAAAACAAGAAGCAAAGAAATTTCAAATGAACTTGAAATGTGGTTCAAGAATAATGATGTAAAACCCATAGGTACTCTCCTAAGTAAAGTCAGCAAAACTTTTTTCTGGCCCTTAGTGCATTGCAGACCAAAACACAACATACACACAATTTTTGACACCATTTTAAGAATGAATTTATTTTTAAATCAGCTAAGTGCTTGACTAGACAAATTCCAGACTGTGATCTTCTTCATAGGATGGCTCTTCATCATAGTGAAACATGTGACAGGACAAAAGCAGCCTCAATAAAGCTCGTTTCTAATAAATAAATAATAAATACATAAATATATCATCATTCAGTGGATTGTTATACTCTGTCAATGCCCATAAAGAGAAATTTCCTTAACTGTTCTCTTCTCCTATTAAACCTTAAAGTTTATACAGTTGAACACAATTTCAACACAAAAAGCAGTGCCCAGTAGAAAGTGAAAACTGTGGGAATGAAGGTCAGCAGTACGGTTCTCTCATAATTCAATAAGGTACTGAAATTATCAGAAGCTTGAATGTGACTACTCTCTCATTAAACTGACCCTATTTTTACAAACTGAGGCAATAAAGCTCCAAAACAATAATCTCAATATTAGAGCTCACCCCAAGGAATGTTAAAACATCCATAGTAAATGAGAATACAGGATCACAGCATACAGAGACAACAATTGAACCAATTATTGAATCTTTTTTCCAGCCCAAGAGGGAGTCTATCTCTACCTAACTAAAAATAAATATTCAGAGTGTGATTACATACAACTGAAAATTATGCATTTTACACTAAAGTGAAACACAACACAAAACTGGAATTTTTGCATGCATTTCATAAAAGCTGTTTCGATTGGTTTTCTGAAGAAATAAAGAGAGGGACGATTCTTACAACATCCAGTAGACTAAATCAGCAGAATCAAGTCCCACAACTGTGGTCAGCAGGAACTCTCCCTTTCTTTTGTAACATAAAAGAATAAAATAATAAATCAACACAAACATGATCACATTTAGAATGTTATTTACACTCATTACAATTAGAGGAAGAAAAATCCGGTCTGAATAGACTAGAAAAGAACACCTGATTGGCAGGGAAGACCACACAAGAGAGTAGTCTGATTTAATTACTGATCTCTTTGCATGAAATCAGAAGAATTTCTTCACCATACTCTTCAAACCACCCTTTTTAACAACTTTCTTTTTCTTGTCACTTAATGCACTTCCCTGATTGTCACTTTGACTACTATTACACACAGGTTCAAGAGAATCCAAACCTTTGCTTCTACTTGACTGACCAGAAACACTGCTACCACTGTCACCTTCATGATGACTCCAAGGTGGACTGTTGAAGAGAAGCTGAGATTCAGCTAAGTTTGAGGACCTGCGGTTCCTTAAGGAGGTAGCAGTCTCTATGTAGGTAGCAGGTATCACAATACCATCAAGTGGTTCTGCATTTCTGTTCCACAATGATGATAACTCTGGAACAAGAGCTCCTTCACTGATGCAATCATCTCTCTCAACTTCCCTCATTGGAGAACTTAACATGCCTGTGTCACCTGCAACACAATGCTCTTGTTATCAAAAGGACCTGTTAGTTATAAAAATGCTCAAAAAGAAAAAAAGATAATAGAACTGTAGACTTGCCATCAATGCTGTTTTTACAGTGTTCTGAGGGCAGTGAAAAAGAATGAAGAGGAGCTGAAATTTTTCTAGTAACAGCTTGAGATTTCTCTACTTGAAGTTGAGCGAGGTTGTTGCTGGAAGATGACTTCATTAACCCTTCCTTTCTGCGCTTCTTCTTCCGGCGCTGTTCTCTAGAACCTGTCACTGAAAACCAAGAACTTGTATCGTTGCCTTCAGGGGTGATATCTACCCCCTCTACAATGACAACATTGTCATCTTGGAGTAACAAGTCTTTGTAAGATCCTAATAAAAAAGGAAAAAGTAATTAAGAATTGGACATTATACTATCAACACAAAAAATGACAAACATTGAAAAACCCACCAGAAATTTTAAGAGCCTCTTCACTTGGGCGCCTTTTCCTAAGGTCACTTCGACTGCCACTGAGACCATCAAGTGAGCTACGTCTCCTCAATTGTTTCACATGCGACTTGTTAACTTTCCTCCACCCAGTGCTCCATTTGCGTTGTGGTCCTGAGGATACAGCCTCACTCTCACTATGGAAGCGGCGGCACATCCAAACAACTACACCAATCATAATCACCTCTATCACTATCAACAGAAAATGTTGACCAATCACCTGGTGGAAGAATAAGCATAAATCAGAGGGTTGCTTCATAATTGATAATGTTAAATTGAGTTCTCTTAAATTGAATAACTTACAATAACCTTATGCTGCCAGCTATCTTTTTCAGTCTGATGAGATTCTAGTGTAGCAGTTATCTGGATAAGTTGAGTGCGTAAGAACAGAAGATCACTATCTCTCTGCTGCTCCCTGTCTTTAGATCTCTTTACTTCTTCCTTGAGCAGATTAAGGGTTTTATTTAATGCTCGGCTTAGTTCTTCCTGTTTCTTGTATCGCCGGCTAAGTTCCTCCAGATACTGTCCACTTAATGACATATTGCGTTCCAGAGCCTGAAAGAGAACAGTTCAAGTTAGGAATAAGGGAAGCCAGAGATAGACACAATCAGAATGGGGCTCTATCAGTATTTACCTTGATTTTATTGGACAGACGTAAAAACACTGATTCTTTTTGGGCTTGTTGAGTTGGGACGCGAGTTTGCGTAACGACACTGCTTGATGTAGTAGCAGCGCCACTTCCAAAAGATGAACTGGTTTCAGTAGATGTTTCTTCATTGTTATCAAGAGCTTTCATTTCCATGATGAGTGCTTCTAAGTCTTTTGACGGCTCTTGATCATCTGATGCTCCCGAGTCAAGTCCAAAAGACACATCGGATAAATCTTTATCTCTGTCTAATGGTGGTACTTCAAGAACTGGCTGCTCAGGGGCTACTGCTTCATGAGGTGTATCATGAACCTTTTCAGCAGGTGCGTTCATTGAAACTAAAACCACAGAGGGTTCCACATTCACATGACTTTGGCTGCTGACAGTTGCCACAACATCTGGCATACTTCCTGATTTTTGGACAGGGAGCTGTGGTGCCAATCCATCAGGTGAGGATATTTCTTTTGCCTCCTCTTTGGACAATGTTTTAGTAGGTTTTATTTCTGATGCAATTGATGAGAATGACGTCGGTCCTGGTTGGCTTCCTGGAAGGCTTGTTGAAACATCAGGTGTGTGTAATGAAGTTGTTCCTGATAGAGAAGGCTGACAGTGCGCTAGAGTAAAAGATGCATCTACAGAGCAGGTTTGAGGTGCTTGATGCTCAATTAACAGATTTTTCAGGTCAGAATCTTGAGATGGTGAATTCAAACGCATATTCTGGTATGCTTTAGCGGCTTGACTATTATTTAACACAACTTTGCCCTCCGATGCTGCGAGCATATTGCAGAGAGCAGATATATACTCTGCAGGTAACATGGCTGCCAAATATCCAGCTTGATCTAATTGGTCTTCATTTCTGAGACGAAGGGGAGCCCCTGAATTTCGTTTTGAAATGAAATCCAGGCCATAGAATGAACATAGTTGGCTGTTGTTAATCCCATCAAACACAAAAGGAGATTCAATAAGAGCATCAAGATCTGAAGAGTGGCAGCTGAGGAGATGGTAAACTTGATCAAAGAAATCTTCACTGCAGTTATTACAAACAACAAGATGACGCAACGTATTGCAGTGTCGAGGAGCCACTCTGTAAGAAGGAATTAATGCAGTGCTGTTCTTGGCATCTATGGTTTGACTCTGATTTTGACTATCACCACTCTTGACTAGAACTTCTGCAGCTTTTCGGACAATTGTAAAGACCTACAGGTAAAATAATAAAATTAGAACCTTATAAGTGGCGCAGCAGAGAATGCACCATTAATGACAAAAGCTTACCGCATCAGTGGCATGGCCAAATAAATTTTTGGCTGGTTTACCCATATCTGCACCAATTGGTTGTTCATCTTCATCTTCATCATCAATGTCATGAATAGCACTGTGCACCTCATTCTCTGTTTCAAGCACTTCAAACTCGCTGGTACCATAAACTCGGATCAATGAGGTACAACAAAAATGTTCTTTACCATAATGAGAGTTGAATTCAACCTGAAATAATTTTTAAGTGAAAGGGAAACGGTCCAAAAGTCATGTATGATCTAGTACTTTTAAAGCAAATGCAATGTACCTTGAGAAATTTTCCAAACAAGTGAGGGCTAAGATCAAAGCTTTGAACATTTCTTTCATCTTTGGCTGTGAACTGTCCAACACTATTCCATTCTCTGCTAGGATGATTGTGACTCAAATATACTGAAAAGTCCTTAGGTGATGATGAAAAGAGCTCAAAATTTGCTAATTCAATCTGAAAAAAAACAAAAAAACAAAAAAAAAAAAAACTATCACATAATCTTATCTTGCCACGAGTAACAGTGTGAAATATTGACAAGAAAATAATTTATGTCACCTGTTTTGCTTGAATGGCTTCACATAGCTCAATTATAAGCCACATTCTTTGTGTGCTACACCTATTGATGAGATACTCATCCTTAGAATTTGACAAGACACCATTAGGATATTCTGCCTCAGGATTTGCAGCAACAATTTTAGCACCACAGTCCGGTGATGCATAATTCTTCGATCTCATTTTGCTAGGGGCTGGTCCACGTGATTGAGGGGGGCTGGTTGTTTTATTTTGACCTGCAAGATTTTTTTTTTATCAGCATGAACCAAAACGATAAACTTTGAAATACAAACTACATTGTACTAAGCAACGGGTAGACACCTTTCTTTTTTTCTGCTTCTTCTAATTGCTTCTGAGTCCATTCACTGAATGATGGTATTTCTTCTTGAGGAATTTGTGGAACTCCAACTAGATCTAGAGGACTTCCAGCTGGGCTGGGAGGAGAAACAGCTGGTTCAGGTGGTTTGTTGGGGCCCTGACCAATTTGCTGAGCATTTTTTTCAGCATCAACAATGATTGGGTCTGTTTTTTCAATAACTTTTGGAATCTGCTCCACAATCTAAAATACACAAAAGCCATTCAGTTAAAAATAACTTAAGAAAAAACAAAAAAACAAAAAAAAAAAAAACAAGTGCTTGATAAAAATAAAATAAAATTGCATCTGTGCTTTTAACTCACCTTGGGCTCTGCTCTAATAACTGGAGTCTGTGGTGAGTCAGAGCTCGGATTTTTGGCACCAGTAGTTGTGGAATCAGTCTTCTCTGCTGGTTTGTCTTTGGGTTCAGCATGATCAACATCACTGGGCGGCAAAATAACAATGGCTGGGGCGGAGCCTGCCGTGGCATTTGCACTAGAAGCCTTACCGCCATCGGCATCTGGTGAAACATCAGCAGAGGCAGAAGAGGCCAGCTGGTGGAGATCTGCAGAGGCTGAGTCTACGAGTGATACAACTCCAATGGTGACTGGATCTGGAAGACTACATGACTTATTAGTATAACAAGACAAATTATCCTCTAAATGCAGAATAAATAAATTGGCCAGGTACTTACTCTTGGCTTAGAGTCCCCTGATTTAGCACTCCAGCTAGTTTTTCACTCACGGCAACATCAGCAACTTTGGGTTTCGGAATATCATCAAAACTTGACTGTATTTGGGAGGCTTGTCCAACGTTCTAGAATAAGGGCACAAAATACATCAATAAATCACTCAAAATGTAACTTAGTGGCAACGCTTCATTAACAAGCAAGAGAGATGATGAAACGTACTTCAGATATTTCAGCCGGTGCATCTTTGAAAGCATCAGGTGGCACTTTCTCAATGGTTGCAGTTTTAACTGAGGGCACAGCATCCAGTTCAGCTTCAGCAGAACTGTTGTTTAAATCATGGTCAATTGTGGTTCCTGCACTGGAAGCAGGAGCTTCAGTCTTTGCGACAGAGTTTGCAAGGCCGCTAAAATAGAAAGAAGTGTGCAGGAAATTAGAAACAATCAATTGCAGAGGGAAATAGGATTCCAGATTATCATGAGATAAATAAATGAGGTAAAAGCTGGATAAAACTGACAGAAAAAATAAAACAGCATTCAACTTTTTAATTTTGAATTGAAAGTATAAATTAAGATGTCACCTTTTCGGCGTGCATTAACTGAATAAGAAAAATAGAATTAAGTTTAAGGCGAAAACGGGTGTTAAGCACAACATTTCAAACAAGGAAAAACCCAGGTTTCGTCAAACTTTAACATGAAATAAAGCACATAACCCTACCTGTTGATAATTTGCAGGATCACCACATAAAATATGAGCCGACAAAACTTCATTTTAAATTGAGAACCAGTATCAAAAAATGACACATGTTTACACGACAGCGCACTTCAAAGAAAGCAAAGTGACACTTTCGTCAGGAAAACATGCACATATATATATAAAAATTTCAAATGACGTGTACTTCGTAGATTGGGCGAAACAAAAGACTACTGTTGCGAAGCTTGAAATTCATTGCAGCGCGAAGTTTAAATAACTTGAATAGAAAATAATATAGTTTTGACTCATGTGAAACGCTTGCTGATTATTAGGACAGAGAATGATCTCATGTGGAACTCAGCTAAGTCTTGCACGTCTAAATCGGTTCAAACTATCTGTTAAAACTACTTCTGGCCTTCAGCTTTCTGCTAGCTTATTCGCCACATACGCTATTTGCAGAAAGTATTGTTTATGTTGTCAGTGGTTACGCCAACAATCTGGCACCGGAACTAATATGTTTACGAAAAAGAAACCTGACATTCCTCCTAGACCGAAAATTCCGACGGTGGAACAAATAATCGAGGACATCGAACACTCTTCTCCTGATGACAGCTTGTTTCAGAGATCATTCGCTGGTAGGTGAAACAATATTAGTTTTCTTGAGGTTAAGGCCATATCCATTTTGGAAACAAAAACTTGAAAACAAGTAGAAACTTTACGAAAATATGGTTACACTACATCATATTCAGATTTTCAATGAGTAGCGTCAACCGTGTCTATTTTTATTTGCGTATTGCAGGTGACGTGAAACAAGACTTACTCGCTCAACAAACTGAAGCGGACACTGTTTACACTATGGTGAAAGAATTTGTAGATATTAATACTAGTCTTAAGGAAACACTTCATAAACTGCAGGACCAGAATGAAGCTCTGAAAATAAGTGACCTTGAGTTAAAAGCTATGGCTGAAGACATTCGCAAACAAGCTTTGGATGCTCTTCAATGACAGCAATTTTCATACGTGTCGTAAAACATTGAAGAGATTCATGGACTTGTGCAAAATGTGATATGTATACGGAAGCACCTGAAGATGATGTAATAGAGTCTAGATTTGTGATAGTGTCTAGATATCTATTGTCGAGAGGCTTCTGTGAAGATGCATTTTTATCATTGTAAAAATTCTTTTTGAGTAAGTTGTTATTTTCGTTATGCTTTTTTTTTTGTTGATGTTTGTACGTTGAATGTTGAGCTTTGTTTTGTGTTTTGAATGGGGTGCAATTCGGCCTCACTGATACTTGGTGGACTGATGTAGTGGGCCAAATGCATTTCAAAGGCCAATCAAACTGGCCTGGGGCATTGTTATGATGTGCTGAGTCCTCTGCCCTCTTTACATTTGCATCTGGTCTCTCATACCAAGCCACCTAGGCGCGTCACTTTGTGTGACTTTTCTGTGTCACTTTTATTTCTTGGCAGGCTTTGTTTGAAGTTGGGATGTGATTGACAACTCCTGCAATCTTACTTGTCATCAGGGTTTTAATAATTATAGTAATATTCATGTTGTAGAGATAGAGATGTAACACAGATAAAAGTTCTAAAATTTAATATACGATTTCAATCAATGGTACTTCCCAACTTTCTTTCTACATAGCATGTTAAGTTCTTGAAAACTGGTAATGACAAACATTTCTGAAGATGAGATTAAAACAGATAATTTTTTTTACACTGGCACACAATGTGAGCTACGACAATGAGAGGCACAATTCTTGAACATGGCATTTACACCAAACAGAAAATAGGCACACTATCATATATTCTCACATACACACTCTGGCCACCACCTGGCTAAAGATTCCCAAGTGCAATAAACACATTGCAGTTAAATCACATATCTAAAGTGAATTAACATACACTTGTCACTTTATCTCAGTTACGAAAGAAGGAGATTTACAAACAAGTCATGAAATATGAATCAAGAAAAGAAAATGAAATATTAAAATTTTCGTCCATTAGAATGAGGCAATATGTCTTTTTGATTGTCCTCTATCATGCAAACGAAACAGTCATAATACTATCTGTTTCAGGAAGGACTGGAGAGTTGTCTTTCAGTAACACTGCATTTTGATTACTGTACAATTCTAAATACAACTGGATCTGATGACAAGACTACAACATTACTTTAAAACAGTGCTTTCCACTTGTCAAATTTCTTTCCTATCTCATGTGAGTGGTTTGTCAATAGCCAAGATATTGCCTCTTTAACCAAAGTAATTCTATAGCTACATCCCTAATTTTTGTCATGCTCAGAACCTAGTGCAAGTTAATCAAACAGACACTAGTTAAGTGCTCACGGAAATACTACAGAATAGATTTAAGTTAGTTAACTGATCAGCTGGACGCATTGTTGAGGAATCAATGTTATATTTTTCAAAAAAGAAAGATTTTAATGTTTCATCTTCTAGTGAATTCTTCAAAAATTGGAGCATGAACAATTCATCCAGTATAGTTGCATACAAAAATTAGTCGGGTTAATAAAATATTGAAATTTATGTACAAGACAACCTCATTAGGACTGTAACCAATCTCTCCCGGTAAAAGTAACCGCATAGTAGCCTTGCAAATGTTAAAATTTAACAAGTTGTCAAGAGTTTTGCTGAAATTTGCCTTTGTCAAACGATGGAGGCATCATGTGCCACACAGTATCACTAAAGAATGTGCAATGAGACGGTAAATATCTCTTAAGGAGGTTGTCTTGTCTTTGGTGGCTCCAATTAGCGAGTTGGTGATGAGGAACTGTTGATTTTCAGTGCAAGTCAAAAAATTTGGAACTTTGCCAGTACAATGACCTTTTTAAGTTTCCTTTGATTGCGTTTGTAAATATTTTAAGAGCAATACTCACAGATTGAAAGGAACGCTTGGTAGAGTACATACTTTTTGAGCTCAAGTGTTAAAGAAGGATACGCAATGTTACAATCAAGAATAGAACATTCTTTGGGCTGCTCCAGGGCATTATTTGTTTACAACATTGTGGTGGGCCAAACACATCTCCTTTCTTGCTCCCGTTCTACAGCAATGTTAATAGCTTTTGCATAGGGTTCTTTGCATTTGCATACTGTTCATGTTCATACATCTATGAACATGTGGGCTTTAAAGGCACAAGGCAGCCTTGCTTTATGTATTAGCTTGCACCTTAACCTTCTAAAAATTAGAAAATTGTAAACACTTACAATTTTATTTTTATTTCCAGCCTGCATTGCTAGAGCTGCAGGGATTTTAAAAGCCGTGAGATATTTTCACATGTATAAATAAAGTTAGTAACACCATAGTACAGATCCCAGCTCCGCACATGTTATACATATCTCAATTTTAAGAAGTCCCTCCACAAGTTTGAAAATTGGATAACGGTAGGTGCTTAAAAGCTCACCATCTGTGCCTTTTGAAATTTGAGTAAGGAATTTATGTACCACAACACAAGAATCTTCAGGTCCAATTATAAATTCTCATTGATCAGTATCATTGCAGTTGTGTCTCAATACAGATCATATAAGCATAAGTAGAATTTTACATTCACATTTCTCACTGACAGTATTGGGACAGCAAATCCAATTTCAGACTCCAATCAGTCTTTGTCATGATGCAGTCATGATAAAAGTGTTGGGATTGATAACTATAAGGTTTGATCAGAGAGCTTCTACAAAATGAAAATTATCACAGAAAAGACTTGAAATGAAACAGCGTTCCTCTTTCTAGACATTTCTATTGCTATGTTTTAAGTTTCAAGTTCAGTATTTATCTGCTGATCCATATAATGAAGCCTCATAATCAATTACCTCACATAACACCATTAAAAGACCTTCCATTATTTATTTTGGTGGTGTATGGTATTGATGCTTTGTGAAACCTTCTTTCCTTTCTCAAACCTCTGAACAATAATGAGGGTATGTTGAGAGCACAAAAATAGACTCAATGAAGCAGAATTTTAACATCAAACAAACAAATTGAATTAAAAATAACTTTCACGATTCATAAATAAATTTCATGTTGCTTTCAATGCTAACAACTATAAGAGCTTTCCTTGAACATAGAAAATACACTGATATTAATACAAATCCATGAAAAATATACTATTACATTCTTTAACAAGGGTGTGTAGACAACTTTAGTGTAGCCAGGTGACCATTTGGCTGTTTAACTGTTGGTAAATTATTGTTGAAAGAAACCATGTTTCAAAGAAGTATCTCTCATTGATAGGAGGTACAAAGGAGTACTGAAAACCCTAATTGTATTCCAACAAAATACTGAATTGGTATTTGTTCATCTGCCTGGTTTCTTTTTGAATCTAAATGCTGTCACTCACCCTTACAACAAAACATAGAGAGAAAAAAAAATTCAACAAAGACTGAGCAACATTTCATCACTAAGAAGTTATTCACAAGAAATGTGAAAAGAATGTAAATTGAGGAAAATCTCTATTCAACTTATACCTCTATTTCACTGATCTCTCTTTATCATTGCTGCCGTAAGCCAGGATTGCAATCAAAAGACTTTCGAACAGAGATGCTAAGGAGACTGCATTGAACAAGTCAAAATATCAACTTGCTCTTCTTTCTTTTTCAAATGACTTTTTTGTTTCTCTTGCTATGCCCAAATCACTTGCATTAGGACTTTTCTTATGTACAGTATGGTAAAAATCAAAGGAACTTTAACGTGCATCCTCTTTAGTATTTTGGTCATATCCATTAAAACTTCATATGAGCCACAGTTGTCAGTTCGAGGCAACTGGGAGCAATGCATTTTGACTCTTTCAATATATGCTGCAATCTTCTGCAACACTTGGTTTCAAAACATGCTCATTCCATAGGTAAGCTCCTCTTGGCAGCATCACATACAATTGCCTGCTCTAGCTCAATATGGCTTTCCTTGCCAACAAGAAACAAAAGGTTCACATGAACTCTTCAACGTTTCAAAAATTGTTTCTTCCTAGAAATTTCTTGTGCCACAGTTTATGCACAAGGTAAGTTACTTTTACAGTCAGAAACAAGCAAGACTAAGGAAATGATTTTTCTAAATACAATGGTTTTAAGTAACACAATTTGAATCAGTATCATTTCATAGGCATTATGAGGTAATTATGGGCTGGGGCTGGCAGAATGGCAGGAGATCTGCTAGCATGGGTAATAGTCTCTGTTTTTCTTTCAGAATGAAAACCTACTGACATCAATCTGAAACAAAAGCAGTTTGGTTTTCTCTCATATAATATGAGACCTTAAATTATTCAATAGTTTGATTTTTATGAACAGCGATGACCTTGCTTTATTTGCTTTCTTGCAGTGCTTTTTTGGTGGAATTTAGAACATTCCACCATTTGAATAGTTTTCCTACTTCTTATAGAGAACAGTACAAGTGCTCCATTAATTACATTCATTAAAAGTATTTGGTACAATATGTACACATGCTCACTCTCACACATTTTCTCTATCTTTCATAATGCAGTAGTATATGAATCTTTATACTGTTTCAACTGATTCATATCCTGCTGCATATTTACATGCACACAATCATATCCACATGGTACAAACCTAAGCAATACTATTTATATATATATAACAATTATGGTATTTAAAATCTCATGTTCTAAATTAACTAAAATAAACATACGCCACATATATGAAACTATTGCTGGAATGAGTAATAGTTTGTAAGAAAAGGATGTTGCAGATGGCTTACTGCTGTCACTGTGGTTTTTTTTTCCTGGTTCTTGTTTGCGCATGGTTTCTACAAGTAAAAATGGAAAATTAAAAATCTTTGTGGACTTCTCACAATCACAATATTAAATCTTTCTACTTCAGTATGTGATTAAAGTAAGATCAAAGGAGAAGCAAATTCTACAAATCTGACACACCATAGTTGAAATTGATGTACCACATATTTATAAGGCTTGATGGGTGACTTTGATGTTCAATAACATTTTACTTTCACTAAGATCACACAGCTGCGAAGAAGCATGAGCATTATCTACATGCGTAGTATTTATAAAGATTTTCCTACAGCTACAAAACTTTACAGTTATATTAATATCTTGTCACATATTTCTTAGTTTTATTTCATGGTAGAAGGGGGACTAGGAAATGTCCAAAAATCTAAAAAAAATAAAAATAAAAAAAGTCAAAATTAATAATTGAAGCTCACACAGAGCTTTTGAAGTAGATCCGACCCATACTTGCTTAAGAATAGAATACAAAGGAGTTGCTTGCAACACCTTAAATTTTGATTTTAGAAAGTTGATATCCTTAATGAATTTAAAGAGAGTTCTAGTGAAGAATGCTGTAGGTCAGCAATGAGTGCTGTACAGTAAAAATCTGACTAATTAAAGATATAGCTAAGTGAATGCTCATAAACATCCACTAAACCTAATGAACACTACTCTAAAATCGAGATTAACGGTAAACGAAGTAGAAAAGTGAGCTTATTTCTTAATTCTCAAGGAAATGAATGACAACAGTCACACAAGAGGAAGGAAAATATCCTATAATTTATCTAGATGAATCAGATGTGATAAAAATAAATCAGTAATGGGTTAATCCCATTAGTCACATTTTCACAGCATGCTTTTTGATGTATACTAATACTAGTGACAACAGTGGCGCATCATATTTGATTGCTGGGCCTCTTGCCCAGTTATGTTAGGCCTTGGCAAATTGTGTTCAACACAACAGAGAGCTACGTCCGTAACGCATCCAGAAAAGTTGTGACCAAATTAAATGAAGACAGCTACATAGGAATCAGTTCTAACATAGATATCAATTGACAGCAGACTGGCACCGCAGCGCACAGCGCAGCACAGCGGTTCCTGCCCACCCATACTGCATAACCACTCCTCACCTTTGCAGTACACACATGGTCTAGGATTCTGCATTCTCTTTGGCTTATTGTGAGAGTATTTAAAATCACAAACTGTACAAGTTCTTCGAAAGCCGCGAGCATCACCACGGCACGAATCACTTGGGGCGTCGGCAGCAGGCAACACCAAGCGACTCATGAGTAGATGGTGATGACTTCCCGACCTCCTCCTCGCACCATCAGGACTTTCTCCAGCCCTTCTGTCAAGACTTCCAGGAATTCCATATCTGTGAGAAGAGTTAAGGGAACAGACGGACCATTTTTACCTGGAAGAAAACACGGAGCAAGCAAGCACAGGGAACCCCCTCCCAGACGCGGGCACCAAAGAAGTAGCCAAGGCAATGAATACGCAACGAAAGGATACAGTTAGCCTCTTTGTCGATGGAAGTCTCTCTCGGAGGCCCGGGCAGGTTTATTATAACGAGCTGGGCGTCGTGCGACTTGTTGACGATGACCTCGTTGAGCTTGACGGCAGTGTGCATCCGCCGGACGTTCCCTTGGTCCCTGCAACAAAGTGGCTCCGTCAGCGACGACGCTCCGCTCACAGTGACACACGACGTGGTGTTAGTGATGAAGCGCGTTAGCAAACGTCAACGCTAACACACACACTGCAGGGCCATGGCAGAGGGCGGGTTGGTTGTCAATGGGAGGAGCAGCACACGACACTCGAACGCCATGGAGTGAGGGCTGGGGGCGACATGCCAGGGCGCCAGGGGCAGGGCCTGGGCCAGCACACAGTGTGCCACACACGACTCACGGCACGGTGATGAGGGGCACAGACAGGTGGGCCGTGGTACCCGAGCCCGAGCCCAGCGGCAGGCCCTGAGGCTTGCCCAGGGGCGGCCTGGCCAGTGGCGGCCGGGCCATGGGCCTGCTCAAGGGGTGCTCTACGGGCTTGCTGACGGCCAGCACGGGCACTTTCAGCTCGATGGTGTTGTTGTTGTTGTTGGCACTGATAATATAAACACGTGGAGATGTAGACAGGGGGCTCGGGGGGACGCGGGCGAAACGTCATGTCCTTCGGGGGTCTGCTAAGTGAAGAAAGATTAAAACGCACGGCGGCGAGGCCGCGCATACTCACAGCGAGAGGGGTGCGCGTTTGGGCGCTCCGGAGCCGTCGCCCTTGCTGGGCTTGTCTCCTCTCGAGTCGTCCGCCGCGTGGCCGCCGTCCTCCTGCAACACCCGAAGCACGCCGATGAGCGAGGAGCGCTCCCGCCGAGGACGCCGAGGACGCCAACTGGAGCGGAACGCCGGAACGGGGGCACACTGTGCCACGCCGTGCCGCCACTTCGCGTGACGGCGACACCCTCGCCGACGTCACGTGCCCGTCAAGGGGCTGGGCCGGGCTGGGCCGTCACGCCACGCGACGGCCACGTCCAAGAGGACGTTGGGGACGTGCAGGGCGAGGCACGCGCGCCAACGCGAGGCACGCGCCGCCCGCCCCGCACGGCGCGGCCGGGGACCTTGTATTAGTTACGAGGCTCTGCGGGGCGGAGGGCGGAGTGGAGGGGCTCAACTTACCGGGTGGTCCGCGGGGGCCGCTGGACTGGTCCGGCGGGCTGCTGCGGCTCCGCCGCGTCGCCCCGCGTCCCCACCGGGCCGTGGTGGGGGTGGGGGCCCCACTAGGGGAGGGCATGCACTTACCTTGTTGGCAGGCCCGTCCTCGTCGTGCGGCTCCTGGAAGCGCACCTTGGTGGAGGTCTTGGCGTCCACGTTGTTTCGGTGCAAGTCCACTATGGTCTGGACCTGCGTGTGCAACGAGGCAAGGCGTTAGGGTCAATGCGGGGCCATGCGGTGTGCGGGCGCCCCTGGGCGTCCCTGGGGCACCAGGGCAAGGAAGGGCCAAGCCGTGGGCCAAGCCGTGGGCCAAGCCCAGAGGATTGGCAGGGAAGGCCGAGGGGTTCAAGCGCCTGGCGGCCTGGCACGGCGGGCCGTGCTGCGGGTCTTTTCGTCGCTCTGTCTCCCTCTCTCTCATGGGGTGTCCCGGAGGGGCGTGAGGGAGAGAGAGCGAACAAGGCAGACCCGCAGGACGGGGCACGTTAGACTTCACACCCGATACAACACCAAGCTGGAAGAATTCTCAAACGTGTTATTCAAACTTTCCTAAAAAAAATCAAAAAAATATTGACGAAGTTTTTGCTTGATGGCAGATAAGACAGCCTGTCAGAAAGGCGACAGGATGTTTGGTGTTTCCCTCGGGGTGGGCGCCGCCTGGCGGAGCGTGGCGGTACTAAAGCCTGTCGCACCGCCAGGCGGCCACATGCGCGCAGGACTACACATTCACACGCTCGGTTAAGAAAACAACACAACTATCGTGAGAGCAAAGGGGTTGTTTATTTCTCTTGATTAACGGCTAGTTTAGATGAAAAGCCTCTGATTGAATGCTCTAATTTAAGAACGATTCGGGTCATGAATCTCTATTGATGACTCCAGGATCCAGCAGTTATAGTGAAAGCCGGTCCGGAGCCCGCCGTGCTACGAGGACCCGAATCGTGACTTAAATCAAACTCTGCTCTATTTAAGGATGGAGATGATTCGCTCTCCGTTCAGAAAGGGCAAGTTGCCAGTCCGTCCGCTAACCGCACCAGAGGGCGCGTGGCGCGTGGTACCGAACACACATTGGAAATGCCTCAGTTGAAAAAAACAGTGCAATCGAGACAGGCTCTGGCATCGCGCCTTTCTGAACGCGTTCATGCACTAAGCGAAGCGGTCCGGGACGCGTTCGCCTCGCCAGCGACTCGCCAGCCAATCGGAGCGAGGCCCTCGCCTCCCGGGCCGCTGCGGCGGATGAATCATGAATCATGAATCGAAAACGAGAAAAGGAAATAGGATGCCACTACAGCGGAGTGGAGGTGGGGTGCATGCCAAGGCCCGAGGGTCGGTCGGCCGGGGGAGCCCCCTGCGGGGTAGGCAGCCGGGCGGCCTCGCCGCATGTCCGCTCGGCGGGACGGCCTACCCCGCGGGGGGCTCCGGGGGCCGGCCTGGGCCCCATGGGGCCGCCTGGAGGAGGCCGGGTGGAGAGGCCGACGGTGGCGGCTTAGTCGCTACACGACTATCGAGCCGGCTTGATGCGTGTGTCGCACAGACACATGAGTGCGACTGCAAAAAAAAAAAAGAAGTTTGTGTGTGACTGTGTTTTAGCCGTGCCGTGACAGCTCTAGAAGTCGTGCGGCTGGTTTGTTTTCGTTTGTTTCCGTTTCCGGGGGTATCAAGAAGGAGTGGGGGTTGTAGAGAAGAGAGCCAAGCGTACATGGTGATGGTGAGAAACGAATGGCCATGAGAAAGAACAAAAAAAGAGCGATAGAGTGTCCCTGGGCCGATGTCACACTGGGTCACATTAGTTTACTTCTTAGTTTACCTGGCAGTTTCGCCATGACTAATGTGAGAACAGAACCTCCATTCCTTTCATCTCGTAATTGCGTATGGGGGCGGCTTTTTGATTGACACCAAGCAGTGCGAAAACTCTTTTCGGCCTGACCGAGTGACCCAGTGCTGCAATCCGCCCAGCAACATCCTCTAGAAGGAAAATTAAGAAAATACGCCACAGCTCAGCTAAACACCAAACACTGAAAGCAGCGCGGTGCGGCGCCGTGTACCAACCAGTGGCTGATTTTCCTCGGACGGATCTTCGTTGAAGTCTACAAGAGTATGGACCTTCAGATGTTCCAAAAGAAATAGAAAAAAATGGGTTGGGGAGGAAGTAAAAAAAACATTCGTCAGTGAAAACGTCCAGAACAACACAGACACAACATTTTATAGCAACACATGCGAGGTTACTGACGCCGAATGACTCGAAACGCACTGAGGTGACTTGGTTACATCTTTAATGTGCAAAAAGTGCGACATTCTGTGTTGCACTCCGTGACTTTGAGGGAGTGTTCACCGACCCGCACACACAAGTATCTTACCTAAGACTCCCGGACCGGGGCACCGGACCCGAAACCATTCCTTTCGGAACCCAACTTGTAGAGGGCGTCACAACGAGCTGCGGAGAGCCGACCCACGTCCCGGGTTCGAAAGCCTCCTCAGCCTAATTTGTTCAAAACGCATAGTCCCTTTACGTCTAGCTGCCCTAGAAGCTCGGGGTAGCAGGGTCCAACCCAGGTCGAGCTGTCGGGGATCGCTATGGAAGCCTTCTAGGGGGCAGCGCGTAGCCGCGTAGCTGGCTGGTGTCGTGAACCAAACCGGCTGGGCGAGGGCCTGGGAGTCGCGCTACTTCTAGGCGGGGGGCACCGCGCCGCCAGCGGAACCAACCGAGCCCAGCACTACGAGCACCGGGACAACCGCCCGACCTCGTCGACGACGTCCAGCACACTGCAAGGCCACTTACCACGCCGAGGCTCTCCTTCTTGTTGAGCTGCAGCTCCCTCAGCATCGCGTTCCGCTGCTCCATCATGAGGGTCCGCTCGTACGTGTACTCGGAGATGTCGCTATCCGTCTGCGGAGAAACTCGGCGTTAGGCAAGGCTGGGGCTGGCTGGAGCCTCCAGGTTGGAGGACGATGCACGCCGCAAGACTTACCATCTCAACCACCTCGACCTCGGCGTCTATCCGCAGGTGGTACAGGAACGTCTTGAGGTCCTTCTTCATCTGGATCGAGTTGTCCTCGAGCTGGGCCACGGTGAAGATGCGCATCTTGCAGTTCTTCCAGGTGCGGTGTTGCTTGAGCAGGAACGGCAGCAGCATGAGCAGCCCGCCGTCGTGGACGATCCACCACACGTCGATGTTGCCGACCACCTGCGGCAGGACACACCGTCAGCGCCCAGAAGACCCTCACCGGGAGCCAGGCCGGCCGACGCGTACCTTTTCCGTCGAGTCGGGGAAGAAGTTGATGCCCTTGGGGACGAGCAGCGCCATCCTGGCGGCGGACACGGTGCGCACCGTCTTGAGGAACAGCTGCCAGGAGCTGTCGTCCTCGGAGTGCCGCCAGGAGTAGGGCCAGCCCAGGATGACGGTGTTGGGCTTCATGCCGCCCAGCCCCGTCGTCTGCACCCTGGAAGCGGAAGCGGAGAGAGCATTAGCAAGGCGACCGGCAGCAACGCGACGCGGCGACGCACGCGGACTCACAGGTGGCTGAGGCCCTCGCTGATGTCCTTGGAGACGAGCACGTCCACGAAGCCCTTGACGCGCTCCTCCCCCATGGTCTTCTGCAGGCTCTGCTTGGCCGCCAGCGCCTCGCCGCAGTTGGACGTGTAGCCGCCGCGCAGCACGGACACGCACACCGTCAGACCCTTGCCGGCCTTGAGCTGCGCCGCGAAGGCCAGCTGCTTGCGGTACTTGGGCACCAGGTCCTGGGTCATCTTGGTGAGGATGAGGATCTGCGGGCGCCAGTTCTTGGTGTGCGGGGGGCCCTCCTCCAAGCGCAGCAGCGAGAACCGCGCCGCGCTCAGCGCCAGACCGCGGATACCGTCACCCCATTCCTTCTCGGCGCCGCGGTACTCGATGTACTTGTAGATGACGCCGGCGATGAACATGGCCAGCAGCGCGTAGTACCAGCTGGTCATGAACATGACGGCGATGCAGAGGCCCAGGCCGCACAGCGACATGGACCAGTGGTAGTACTTGAAGCGGGGCCGCCAGTTGGGCGTGCGCAGCAGGGTCTGCACGGCGCAGGCCAGGTTCACGAAGCCGTAGCACATGAGGAAGAACATGGACAGCAGCGGCGCCAGGTAATCGACGTTGCCGAGCAGGATGCCGCACTGGCAGATGACGACGGTGAGGAGCAGGGCGCGCGTGGGCTCGCCGCGCGACGAGGAGACGGCGAAGGGCGCCAGGAAGGGGATGATGCCGTCCTTGGCGATGGCCTGCAACGAGGGGAGGGGTGAGACACACGCCGAGCAAGGCAAACGAGGCCACCAACGCGCGCGCGGCCGTACGCACCTGCAGCAGACGGGGCGCGCCGGTCAGGGACTGGAGGCCGGCGCCGAGCGTCGACAGGAAGGAGCCGATCAGGATGACCCACTGGTTGGGCCAGGCGATGTTGGCCACCACCAGCTTGCCGCCGATGCTCTGGCCGAACTTGTCGCGCAGCAGCAGGTTGTCCACGGTGGCGGCGAAGAGCAGCACGGTGGACAGGTACACCGTGGAGGTCGTCAGGATGGCCGCGATCGTGCCGACGGGGATGCTCTTCTGCGCGTCGCGCAAGTCGCCCGACCGGTTCGAGCCCGCCATGATACCTGCGCGGATCAGAGGGTTAGAATCGGCGAGCCCTCGCGGTGCGATGTGGGCTCGGTTACAGTGTAGGCGACGCGGCGACTCACCAGTGACCGAGGGGAAGAAGATGCCGATGAGGATGGTGAAGGCCGTGGTGATGTCCGCGTACACCTGGTTGAACGGGGGCGAGTCCAGTCGCTCAATGTCCTTGGGGTCCTTGCCCCTGGCGATGTACTGGCCGTCCATCAGGAAGCTGTCGGCGATGTTGTCTGCAAAGGGCAAACTTGTTCGAACAAAGTGCGGCGGGGTGGCGACGCGGAGGGGTGGAGGGCGCGGCGGGGCGCGACTCACCGAAGAAGACTCCGCTGGCGATGCCCTTGATGCCCCGGACCTTCGTCACGTTGTTGGTGATGAAGTACGGGTCGCACAACTTGTTCTTGCAGAAGGTGTTGTACAGCTGCCCGTTCTCGGCCTTGGTGCAGTTGGCCAGGGACACGTCCTTCAGCAGCCGCTTGCCCAGCACGCACATGCTGCGGAGCGGGAGAACACAGGTTCAAATACTGGACGAACAACCTCTTTTTTTGTCCATCTCCAAGATGGGCTCTCTACTTACAACAGGTTGTCGTTGCCGTTCCAGTTGACGAAGATGCCGGCGTACACCGCGATGATGGAGAAGATGACGCACGCCAGCGCCACGGCCGCGAACTTGTTGACGAACTTGACGCCCACGAACACGATGGTGCCCATGACCATGAGCAGCACCGTGCCGTACACGCGGAAGTTGTTGTACATGATGTTGGCGTCCTTGGTGAAGTCGCCGAAGATCGACATGGATGGCGCCATGTACGTCTGCAAGCAAGTTTCCGAGGTTAGAGTCCTCCTCGCACGCGACATGCCGCCGCGCCCCGCCGCCCCCAGCCCCTGACGGAAACTTGGCTCGTCCGGAGCAGGGCTTTGCAAAGCTGTTCTCGCCCTGCGCGGGCCCCGCCTGCCCCGTCGCGCCCTGGCCGTGGTGAGCCGCGCCATAGCGTGACTCCCAGTTTGCGAAAACCAATTGCTGTCATCAGCAACTCCTCCCTCATCTCCAGCTCTTTCTCGACACCACGGCATACTCACCAGCACGATCTCCACGGCGCCCACGATGTACATGGCGGCGGCCAGGGTGGTCCCTATGTAGAACAGCATGCCGACGGCGCCGCCGAACTCGGGCCCCAGCGAGCGCGAGATCATGAAGTAGGAGCCGCCGGCCGGCACCACGCCGTTGGTGGCGATGGCGGACATGGAGATGGCGGTCAGCATGGTCTGCAACAAGGTTCGCCGCCATTCAGCGCCGCGGCCTTCCACACCACTGCTGCGGTCGGCGCCGAGGCCAGCCGGCGCGATTCCGAACACGGGGTCGCGCTGTCCCACCGGGCCTGCGGGTCGCCCCGTGAGTGCGGCAGGGACAGCGCGACGCGACGGAACCGCAGTTCGGAATGAGCATGCTGGCCAGCCAGCCCTATAAATCAGCGGTCTGTTCCAAGTGGAGCGCCTGGCGCCACCGCGCGCGGCCCGCTGGACCACGGCCCGGCCGGACCGCACCTGTGGTCGCCACCACACTGGTCGCCACCACGAGCCAGCCCAGCCAGACCGAGCGAGCAGGACCACATAATTCACGCGCCGCTGGCAACAGACTGCTGCTTTAAAATAATTAAAACGATAGGTTATCTGCATCTCCATTATTCGCAGCAGCGCGCGTTGTGCTTCTGCTCCGCTGTTTGCGCCACGGGGAGAGGCGGTGCTCTGTCTCTCTCGGACTCCTGGGAGGCCGCACGAGTGTGAGAGAGACAGAGCATCGGAGCAGCGGACCGGTAGAACAAAGGCGACGCCAGAATCCCCGCGCGCGGCGCCGCAGAGAAAGAGCGAATGTGTGCTGGACTACTGACCACGCAGCAGCAGGTGAGGACGATCATGAAGCCGGCGATGGCGCCCGCCGTGCCCACGACCCACGTCAGCCGGATGAACAGGATGACGCCGAAGATGTTCTGGATGCAGGGCAGGTACACGCCCATGAGGGTGCCCATGGAGGCGCCGGCCTGGGACGGCTTGGCGTCGGGGTCGGCGGGGGTGGGCTGTATCGTGTTGGAGTAGTTGGCCAGGGAGTTGATGAGCGTCGACACCCGCGGCCGGTCCTCCATCTCCTCCTGCGGCAGGGCGAGAAGCAGGTGGTGAGTCGCGGGGTACGTCGACGCTGGTGTTGCCAACCAACGGTCTCTGCCCTGCGACTTACCTGGTACAGGTACAGGTTGGTCTCGTAGCCCGACATCTTCTCCTTGTCGGAGACGAAGGGGTGGTCGTCGGTGCCATCTCCTGCAACAACGAGAAACACGCCGAGGTGAGACTGCAGTTCTCCCAACGCCATGCAGGCAAGCCGTCGTCGTGCACCCCCGAGACCATCGCCAGTCCGAGCCTTCGCCCCGTCCCCCATTAGTGAGAGAGAGACAGAGCGACGCGAGCACGTTCGGACCCAGCCTGCAGCTTGCCACGTCTCGCAGACAATAGGGCCTCGTTATGGGGCTGGTTTGGTTCGCAGCTCAACTGCTTCCAATTTTCGCGCTCGGAATACGCGGCCGACGTGGGACTGGGACTGCAGGGCTTTGACCGGGCGCCCTGAAAAACGGCGACGGAGCGAGGCTGCTGCTGCTACACTGGGTCGAGGCGACGCGCACGTCGTCCCAGAAGCCCTCTGCGGCGCGACGTGCCTGGCCGTGTCCCTGCAGGGACACCCGTTTTCACGAATAAGCAAGCGGCCCACAGTGGGCCAGAAGACCGGCGAAGGCGGGCCAAAATTCTAGACGCGTTTTGAACTCAAGAGTCGCTAAAATGGGGCTCGAACAGAACGTGTGACTCCACCGATGGACTGAATCCTGTTTAGCGACTCTGCAGCTCACAACGCGTCTGGAATTCTGGCCGCCTCACCGGTCTTCTGACCCACTGTGCGGCCCGCCCTGCCCTACCATGCGCGTCCCTCGCCGACGCTGCGGCCGCGGCGCCTCTGCGAACCGCTTCGCTGCTTATTAAATAATAAATCATGCTTGAGGCCAAGGCCAAGGCCCGGCCAAGACAGCCGAGGCTGAGGTAGGCGCAGCGAGGCGTGCCGCCCCAACCTCCTCGAACAACGATTCTGCCCGTGTTTGGAAATAAGCAAAGGGGAAAGAGGGGAAAAAGAGAAGGAAATGCAGATTTCGGGGAAGCGGAGATTTTTCCTGGAGATGCTGGATAGCGACGCTGGAACCGCGGTGGAGTTGGCCCGATGGGACGCGAAGATGCGCAAGATAGGGCCAGAAACGGTTCCCCCGTCGGATATTCCCCGCCCCCCTCTCCCTCGCTTGCCCCCTTTTTTCCCCAGTATTTGGTGAAAAATGTAGAGGCAGCTTCCGCGAGACTCGACAGAATAATGGCTTTCTGGGGACGGGGCAGCCCGGCCGCAGCGCCGCCACCACCATCAGGCCCTGGAGGGGCGTGGCGGGGCGTGGCGGGGCGGGGCCGAGGTTTGGCCCGGGAGAAAGGCGCACGCACAGGGAAAGTGTTGTCCGAGACTCGTCCGAGACGCTCCCGGGCCATCCGTCAAAACGTCGCGTCTTCCCGCAGCTCAAGGCCAGCGCCGTCCGCGCGGCCGCTGCGACGCCGAACGCGCGAATATCCGCCCGGGGAGGGGGCGGGGCGGGCCTCGGGGGCGGGCCTTGGGGGCGGCGGTAGTGGAAGCAGGGGGGCGGCAGGTGCGCGGGGAAGGCGATGTAGGCCGCACCCCGCCCAACCCGACAGCCAGGCAGCTGCCCTGCAATCGGCCGGGACGACGGCTGCCTTGTACTCGACGCCAGCGTTGCGTCGTTGCCGTCGCGGCCCGGACCCTAATGACACACCGAGGGACGCCGAGGGACGCCCAGAGAGAGAGAGAGAGGCGGGGAAAAAGAGCTGGCGCTGCAAAGGACGGGCTCTGGCAGTGGCGGCGGCAGCGCGGAGCCCAGCGGAGCCGGGCCCAGCCCAGCCCGGCCCGCGCCCCGCGCCCGGCAGTTAGGCCGCCGTCGAGTGCTCCACACACGGCTGCGTCGCAGCGGCCTACGCTCCAGGCGCACCGAGTACCGCTGCCTGCCGCCTCTGCCCGCCACGCCGCGTCGCGCTGGCTTTTCAGCTTTTAAGCTTTTAGCCTCTCAGCAGCGTGGAGCCTCGCACACGTCTAGCGGCAGCAGTGTGCCCGACGCTGTGCCTGACGCAGTGCCTGGTGGCGGCCTGCATCGCCTGCATTCACACCGCCGTGGCACCAGTGGCATGCACAGAGGTTGGTGCTCTGTCCCGCCCCGCCCCCTTTGCTATCGACAGAGGATCAGCTGAGTCAGCCACATTGGAGATTCCCTCGCTTCACCCCCGCAACGGCCGAGCACTGCCACGGTCGTCGACGGGGGGCGGGGGTGCGCTCTCTCTCTCTCTCTCTCTCTCTCTCTCTCTCTCTCTCTCTCTCTCTCTCTCTCTGTCTCTCTCTCTCTCTCTCTCACGCACACACCGGAGGTACGGTTTTGCTTGGCCCTAATTGCTGCTGGCATTTGGACGCGGAAATCTCCTCTCCCTTCCTCTCCCTTTTTTTCCTGCCCGAAAAACAAGGAAGAAACAAGACCGGCAACAACCCCTCGTCCACTGCAGAACTGCCCCGCGCCGCGTCTTGGACTCGACCGCTGCCACCGCCGTTGCGCATTTCTCCGCGACAATGGCGACTCTAGGCAGCCAACAGACTGATTCCGAGAGTCGTTTCCGTCTCTCTCTCTCTCTCTCTCTCGCACCTGAGCGGACTGCCCCATGAGTGCGAGAGAGAGCGAGCGACGGAAACGACTCTGCAGGCCGCAAGCCGCGCTGTGGGGTCACAAGGGAAAGCCCAAGGGACCGGCGGCACTAGACTATTGGAGCAAGAAGCCGATAGCAGACGTGTTGCGAAACTAACTGCGGTCTGCGAGCGGCGGCCCGACCGCCACTGCCACCACTGACCCAAATCGGGCGGCCAGTGGCGCAGCCGCGTAGCACCGCGGGGCCAGGTTCGTTCGCGGGGGGCGCCTGAGTAATGGCTGCCCAGTGGCGTAGCCATGGCCATCCCGAGGATCATTCTCGCCTGCCGGCAGTGGTCGCCCGGTGGCGTAGCCAAGTCGGGTGCCCCTGCCGGCGGTTTCCCCGAGGGTTTCCCCGAGGGTTCCCAGTGGCGTAGCCGAGCTTGTTTGCAGTGGCGCGGAGCCACGCCTCCGCCGTCGGGGCGCGGATGAAGGAAGAGTGAAATGAGAGGCGCGCTGCGCAATCTGTCTTCATCAGCTGGAAAATGCTCCGGTGGTAAAGAGAAACCCCGCGAAAAAAAGGGGAGGAAAAACTTTTTTCCTCGCGTTTTTTTCTCGTTTCCCTCCTGAAAAGGATGGGAATAGGCGGGCGTCTAGCTGGCGCGCGCACGCCGGCAGCATGGAAAGGAGTAAAGATTGAGGAAAAGGAGAGAAGGGGAAGGTGGTTGGACCGGGCCGGGGTCATGCCAGTGACAGGTGGCTCAAAGTGCGTAATAAAAACTACCCCCTCGGAGCCCCGTCCTCGCCCCCCTCCCCGCCCCCCTTCCCCCCGGCCCCGGCCCACACTGTAATGAAGAGCGCCTTTTTGTCCTACACACGCCCCTTCCCCCTCTCTCCCTCTCTCTCCCTCGCCGCCCTTCCTTCAGCCTTTCTCCTTCCTTTGCCATAAAAAGAGTATAAATCAGCCCGGCGTTATAGGAATGGAACTCCCAATGGAGTGCTCCGCTCGGCCCTGCTCGGCTCCGCTCGGCTCCGCTCGGCTCTGCCCGGCTCTGCTGGCCAATTAGCTTCGCGCTCCGCTGCCCCCCGATATAAAGCCGGAAAACACGGCCAAGTTCACCTCGTTACGGAGCGAGCGGCCGAATCATCCCCGATTTAATAGTCCGCTCGGAGTGACAGCGCCAGCGCGGCCAGCGCGGCCGGGCCAGCGCACACAGGTCAATTATTCGCCGTCTATTTATAGGTCCGGCCAGCTGCCACGGTCAATCCAAATTACAGTGGGTCGGGCGCGCGCTTTCGCCCGGGGCTTTGACACACCGTTCGGAACATTTGGCGGCCGGAGCCGCGGAGCCGCGCGCAGCCAAGGAAAACGCGGCGGGAAAGCTTGAAGGCGCCGCTTTTCTTTGCCGTTTATTTATTTTCATCGCCGACGTCATACGTGCCCTACTCTGCGACGACTTTCCGGACAGTAATCATAGCAACTTGCTCGCGGGAAAAGTTTGTGCGCCCGAGGGAGGGGGGGGACGAGCTTGGTGCCCTTTTCATGTGCAAAGCTGCCTGCCTCCGCGCTGCTCCGCGCCGCTCAAAGAGGGCCCTCCGCCTAGTGGCGCTGGGCCACGCCGGGCTGCCGGCCTGCACCGCCTAGTCCAGGCCTACTTACGGCCGAGTCAAGTCGAAAAGTCCCGGACGGGTCAGTTCGCTGGGGGACGCCCTCGCCCCGCCCCGCCGACTCGAGTCGCTGGGTTTTCATTTAAAGTTGAACCCCCAGCCAGTCGGTCTGTCCGTCTGCCTGCGGCATACAGGACATGAGCCCCGTCCCGTTTGAGCCCCGATGGTCTGAGCCCCGACCTGAGCCCCAACCTGAGCCCGGGTTGAGCCCCGACTTGAGCCCCGACCCAAGCCCCATTTCCAGAGCCCGGATTGAGCCCCGACCTGAGCCCCGTTTGAGCCCCATTTGAGCCCCACTTGAGCCCTATAGTAATAAATTATGCAAAAATGCGTGATTTCAGGTCGCGGGGCTCAAATGGGGCTCAAGTGGGGCTCAAATGGGGCTCAAACGGGGCTCAGGTCGGGGCTCAATCCGGGCTCTGGAAATTGGGGCTTGGGTCGGGGCTCAAGTCGGGGCTCAACCCGGGCTCAGGTTGGGGCTCAGGTCGGGGCTCAGACCATCGGGGCTCAAACGGGACGGGGCTCATGTCCTGTATGCCCTGCCTGCCTGTCTGTCTGCCCCACACGGACCAAGTCGAAGGGAAGGCGGAGGCTGCATAAAAGGGCGCCGTCCCTTTGTGGACTCCAGGCTGGAGTCTCCAGGACTTTGGCCGAGCCTTCGGTCTCCTTCGGTCCTTTGGCCTTTGTGTCCGGCAAGGAATGCCGCTCGAGGGGCACTGCATGAGAGCAGAAAAAACGAAAAAAACCGAGTGAAATGGCCTGCGAAGCAGATAATCGACATTTCACACGAAGCAAAGTTCTGTTTTCTTTTTACGTAGATCTATTGGCATTTCCACGTAAAATTTCCCTGGATTCTCCAACTTTTTTTTACCCTCGATTCAGTGGTTA